TTATTTTTTAATAAAAATATTTTTTATTAAAATAAAATAATTGTATTATATAATAAAATACTTAAATGTTGAATCTTGATCCGACAATAAAGGTATATCTCATTAACTTAAAAATAATTATTTAATTTGTGAATATATGCTGAAGCAGCCTCTTTCATTGTTTGGTGCTTTATCCATCTTTGTTTGACGACGAATCCTGCAACTGCGCCGTTCCGGTAACTCGCTCTACTCTGTATTCTTCATATTTCATCCAGGCAACGTGTTTTTCTCCCTTTGCCTTCCGCTGCATATTGAGTTTAATTTGTTAACACAATGTTGTTGAAAACTAAATACAACTATCCGCTTCTCCAAGTATTCGTATACTACGTTACTCATTACAAAATTTTGCATCAGATTCGCAAAATTAAATCAATTTGAACTGTGTTTATGTGGATTTTATTGTTTTTGCATTGAGTGATGCTGTCTCTCTAGGGTTCAGAGTGCTTGTTTTATTTATTTTGTCTTGTGAACGTTGTTGTGTCTTTGATTCAGCTTAGTTTAGAGATATAATGGCTTGTTTAGCTGATCGAGTTTTTGAGATATAAAAACGTTTATTTCTCAAAATCAGTTATTTATCAAACAGTTTAAATTGGAGAGTGAGTATATAGCACTGAATTCGCGATCGTGTGATCTGGTGACAATTGAGAAAGTGTAGTTGCTCTTGACAGCTATATTTGAATGCTAGGCAATGCTGATAAACATGGTGTTAATTTTTGTGAAACGAACATCATAAGATTGTGGGTTTGTGTTACTAGTAATGATTACCGTGTTTCTTTTAATATCAAATAAAACAGTATAATGGTTTGACGAAAAACTCTCTTTTGCCACCCTTCTACTACTATATTCAGTTTTCCAGCATTGAGCAATCTCTGTTTTGAAGCACAGCCACCCTCTCTGTACTTTGAAGTACGCCCATCGGCCATCCATCGCTGGATACCTTCTTTTCTCTGGCAGTTTCACAGCCATTGCAACCTTCGTGGGCACTGGGATCTTAGCTTCTGTCATCTCATCTACCACACTGCATTTTTGTTTATGGTCATGAATCATGATCAGTCTTTTTTTGGCCATCTTTTGTTAATTATTATGTCATTAATTTAGTTTTTAAATTTTTTGAGCATTTACGCGTATATAGCATAAATTATTTAATCCGTAGATAAATTTTCCGACTACTAGCCATTCCACTTTATCGTTTTCGGGACGGTCTGAATTGACCGGGCTAACCATTTTAGAGTGGATGTGTCAGGGAAGTAATAGAATCAAATTTTCACCATTGATGGACTCAACTTGTGTTCATAATCCAACGCAGTTTTGCATCAGACTATTTTTATCTGCATTTGAACTGAAGAATTGTTTACTGTTTTCGGTGTTTGATTTTCTATCTTCCTTTCTTCTGTGTTTCCTTTAAATATGGGTGGGGTTTATTTTAGGCTCTGCTAATGTCAATGGCTGATTTGGAGGGCGTAGAAGGTTACATGCCTTCTGCAGAATATGTGGAAGACAGTAATGAAGCTCTCATTAACTTGACTGACTCAACTGAACTTTTGTTTCTTAAGCTGCCTTCTTCCAATGTAAGTTTGTCCTTTATGCCTTTGGTTTTTTTTTTTTTGAACTGAATCTTAACTGTTGATGCCAACTAAATGAAAAAGAAAAATCCTTAAGGATTGATATCATTGTTATTACAAAAGTGAATGATCAAGTGTAGTATCAAGTAAAATTAAAAATAAAAATTAGTTCATTGGCTTTTGTTTCCAAACAATTAGGTTTCTTTTTTTATCAAGCCTCTCTACTAAGCGTAGTTTTTATTGTGTTATATTCTGTTTGGAGATTAAAAGTTGCAGTACATGTTTCATGTTAATTTTTATTGTGCTAGATCTCATTAAAGAGTGTGAAAAAATACATTTCTGTGTATTACCTCTATTCATTTGCTGACGTTTACCCCTTACTTTATTATAGGAGACTGATCAATTTTTATAAATTTTTAAGGTTGCATTTTATTCAAATGAACTGGTGTTTGTATTGGTGGTATTTCCTTCCATCTAGCAGTTAGATGATGGAAGAAGAGTCCTTTTTGGTGTTGTGTTAATTATTGCCATTGTTGTCTTGCTTGATGTGTGTATGATGCTTTTGTCCAGGATTTTTTATCTGACATAAATGGACAGAAATTGTTTCTCACACTTAACAATGGTGGTAAGCTAGCCAGCTTTGAGGGTTCATCAGGTAAATAAAATTAATCATCTGTGTTCTCAACTTCAAGTTTTGCATGATTGATCTCTAAATGGTGTTTTTTTTTGTGTGTGGGGAAATGAATATGATTGCTTTCTGCAAGGGCCTTAATTTTCATATTATGTTGGCAGGTAAGGTATATGATTTTGTAAACTTTTTTGCTCAGAAGCCAGATGAAACAGTTTTTGTTTCCTCTACAGAACCAACAATTGGTAAGCATCCATATATTTTGTTTTTCTTGTTTAATGTCATATGAAGGATATCAACAATAATTTTGAGAATTATTCTAGCTCACAGAGAGCAAGAGCTTTTTTGTTATTTATTATTTGAGGTAGACTCTCAAGTTATTAGAACATGTAAGATGGGACTTTATTTGGTCATTTCAATGTAAGAATTATTTGAGAAGTATCCCAGCTTTCCGACAGAGCTTTATTGTTAGTTACTATAATTTGAGGTAAAATCTCAAGCCATAAGAAGAGTAGTGTCTGGTTTTGCATCAAGTGTTGTTTGAGTAAATAACTTTTACAAAGGTGTTGAATGTACTTGGTGCAACATTATATCTAATGAGTTTATGATAGTAAGAGTTCATTTGCTCCACATTTTTTATTTTAAAAATTACTTCTAAAAAAATTTCGGTGTGTCTGTTTAACCTTCTAAAATAATAAAACATGAAAATTCTCATTATTTTTTACAAGCTGCTTTGAGTAGCCTTCTTTTGAAAAACTTCTAGATTCAACCCTTATCACTTTTGCCAAACTGGCCAGCCAGCCCATTTCTCCATCTCAACATTTGCTAGTAATTTTCATGAGTTTCAAGTCTGGTTTCTATCCATTTGGTGAACCATGAAACCTCTAATCTGAGGTTTGATTGGTTTGTTCAATTAATGTTTTTCTTAAAAAAAGCATGTGAATATAAGTCCAATGTTCATGTAACAGGAAGTTATATTGTAAGTACAGTGCCAAATGATTTACTTTAGATTTTGAACTTGACCAGCAGCTTTCTCATTAGCTTTGTTTTTCAGAAACTGTGAATTCACGTGGATCTCACTCCCGATTTTGTTCCCCATTCCCCTTTCACCCGCCCTTTCTATATTTGGATTGGATTTTCCCTTGCTGTATTTGACTACTTTTCTTGTCACTTTGTCTTGCTAGAATCTGGTTCTTGCGAGTGTTTAATAGCACTTTTAATTTTGTATAGGTTTCTAATTTGTAGCCTTTTAATTCAAGCATTAAGAAAAGTTATTTCTTTTGCTTTACTGCAGCAAAGATTTCAATGCGAGTTTCAACCATCCATTACCCTGATCCTAAAGAACTTGAGAACCTCAATTCAATCAACGCAAGACATGCACATCGAAATTCTTCTGGAATCACTGGGACAACTTCATCTCGGTACTTTCCTATGCAAAGTGGTGGACGTGCAGCTTCATCAAAAGGTAGCAGACAGAGAAGCTCCTTGTCTGGAGTTACTGAGCCATCAAGTATTTCGAAAAAAGGACACGTGTCTAAATCTAAATTCAACTTGTCTGAGTCCTCACATGGTCACAGCACTGGCATTTCCTCTATGTCCGTAGACAATTCTCATGAAGGAAAACCAAAGAGAAGAAAACACACGGAATAATGTTTCCTATACCCGCCATGGCCTTTAATAGTGTAATTTTTAAAATTAACATTATCCCGGGCCTAACTATATAGGAAAGAATAGGGCAACACTTTTATGTTGCAAAAGGATGATAAATATTTGTATTTTCTTTGTATTTTTCAAATTGTCATTTACTTCAGTTGCACAATGCTCACTGATTTAAGGACCCTTTCTTTTCTCATTTTTCTGGCCTCTTTTTGTGTATTGAAAGCGCTATATTAATTTAGTTATGTTCTTCCTAATGTTGGATTGTTTTAATCCTAATAATGTCTTTGAAAGCCTGCTGCCACCACATCGTTAGGGCCTTTGTTGTCAAAACTGGACTGAGAATGAATTTTTGATGAAATTATATTTGTTTTTTTTACAAAAGAAAAAATAGGAGAGAAAATAGATGTGAAGGGGCTAAGGAATAATGAAGGTAGGATTGCCAACTTAGGATTTAAGAATAACGAAGATAGAGGATTTAAAATTAGTTTCATAAGAAAGACATAATGAAGGTAGATATAGAATATATTTTAGAAATTACGCTTCAGGAACTAATTTCATAAATATAAAATAAGAACAAGGGAAAGAATATCAACAGGGAACAAAAGTGATAATAATAACAGGGGTAGTTGAATTGGTTGAATTCATAAAGCTGAAGTTAAACTTAAGCATTGTAGAATTCTGTAGGGCTTTCTTTACAAAAAATAAGTGCATATTAAGCTTATAAAAAACCGGTTACTATTTTCAGTTTTTAATAAAATATTAATTAATTATTTTTAAAGAAAACATATCAATATGTGCATTTAAAACGGGTTAAAAAGTATTTATTGAAAATGTAAGATAATTTGAATAAGTAATATATTTATATTTATTTAATAGTATAAATCACACATGTTAAAAAGATGTCAAAGTTTATTAAAGAAAAACATGAGGAAGATTGAGAAGATGAACGATACATGGCATGAGATGCTTGTGTGGAGAATGAGTACTGATAAGCAATGTTCCCAGCGAAGAGGTTAAGAAGCATTGAAATATATGGTTAACATAAAAAAGGTTAAAATTATTTTTCAACAACAATTTTAGAATATATCCTNCCATTGCAACCTTCGTGGGCACTGGGATCTTAGCTTCTGTCATCTCATCTACCACACTGCATTTTTGTTTATGGTCATGAATCATGATCAGTGTTTTTTTGGCCATCTTTTGTTAATTATTATGTCATTAATTTAGTTTTTAAATTTTTTGAGCATTTACGCGTATATAGCATAAATTATTTAATCCGTAGATAAATTTTCCGACTACTAGCCATTCCACTTTATCGTTTTCGGGACGGTCTGAATTGACCGGGCTAACCATTTTAGAGTGGATGTGTCAGGGAAGTAATAGAATCAAATTTTCACCATTGATGGACTCAACTTGTGTTCATAATCCAACGCAGTTTTGCATCAGACTATTTTTATCTGCATTTGAACTGAAGAATTGTTTACTGTTTTCGGTGTTTGATTTTCTATCTTCCTTTCTTCTGTGTTTCCTTTAAATATGGGTGGGGTTTATTTTAGGCTCTGCTAATGTCAATGGCTGATTTGGAGGGCGTAGAAGGTTACATGCCTTCTGCAGAATATGTGGAAGACAGTAATGAAGCTCTCATTAACTTGACTGACTCAACTGAACTTTTGTTTCTTAAGCTGCCTTCTTCCAATGTAAGTTTGTCCTTTATGCCTTTGGTTTTTTTTTTTTTGAACTGAATCTTAACTGTTGATGCCAACTAAATGAAAAAGAAAAATCCTTAAGGATTGATATCATTGTTATTACAAAAGTGAATGATCAAGTGTAGTATCAAGTAAAATTAAAAATAAAAATTAGTTCATTGGCTTTTGTTTCCAAACAATTAGGTTTCTTTTTTTATCAAGCCTCTCTACTAAGCGTAGTTTTTATTGTGTTATATTCTGTTTGGAGATTAAAAGTTGCAGTACATGTTTCATGTTAATTTTTATTGTGCTAGATCTCATTAAAGAGTGTGAAAAAATACATTTCTGTGTATTACCTCTATTCATTTGCTGACGTTTACCCCTTACTTTATTATAGGAGACTTATCAATTTTTATAAATTTTTAAGGTTGCATTTTATTCAAATGAACTGGTGTTTGTATTGGTGGTATTTCCTTCCATCTAGCAGTTAGATGATGGAAGAAGAGTCCTTTTTGGTGTTGTGTTAATTATTGCCATTTTTGTCTTGCTTGATGTGTGTATGATGCTTTTGTCCAGGATTTTTTATCTGACATAAATGGACAGAAATTGTTTCTCACACTTAACAATGGTGGTAAGCTAGCCAGCTTTGAGGGTTCATCAGGTAAATAAAATTAATCATCTGTGTTCTCAACTTCAAGTTTTGCATGATTGATCTCTAAATGGTGTTTTTTTTTGTGTGTGGGGAAATGAATATGATTGCTTTCTGCAAGGGCCTTAATTTTCATATTATGTTGGCAGGTAAGGTATATGATTTTGTAAACTTTTTTGCTCAGAAGCCAGATGAAACAGTTTTTGTTTCCTCTACAGAACCAACAATTGGTAAGCATCCATATATTTTGTTTTTCTTGTTTAATGTCATATGAAGGATATCAACAATAATTTTGAGAATTATTCTAGCTCACAGAGAGCAAGAGCTTTTTTGTTATTTATTATTTGAGGTAGACTCTCAAGTTATTAGAACATGTAAGATGGGACTTTATTTGGTCATTTCAATGTAAGAATTATTTGAGAAGTATCCCAGCTTTCCGACAGAGCTTTATTGTTAGTTACTATAATTTGAGGTAAAATCTCAAGCCATAAGAAGAGTAGTGTCTGGTTTTGCATCAAGTGTTGTTTGAGTAAATAACTTTTACAAAGGTGTTGAATGTACTTGGTGCAACATTATATCTAATGAGTTTATGATAGTAAGAGTTCATTTGCTCCACATTTTTTATTTTAAAAATTACTTCTAAAAAAATTTCGGTGTGTCTGTTTAACCTTCTAAAATAATAAAACATGAAAATTCTCATTATTTTTTACAAGCTGCTTTGAGTAGCCTTCTTTTGAAAAACTTCTAGATTCAACCCTTATCACTTTTGCCAAACTGGCCAGCCAGCCCATTTCTCCATCTCAACATTTGCTAGTAATTTTCATGAGTTTCAAGTCTGGTTTCTATCCATTTGGTGAACCATGAAACCTCTAATCTGAGGTTTGATTGGTTTGTTCAATTAATGTTTTTCTTAAAAAAAGCATGTGAATATAAGTCCAATGTTCATGTAACAGGAAGTTATATTGTAAGTACAGTGCCAAATGATTTACTTTAGATTTTGAACTTGACCAGCAGCTTTCTCATTAGCTTTGTTTTTCAGAAACTGTGAATTCACGTGGATCTCACTCCCGATTTTGTTCCCCATTCCCCTTTCACCCGCCCTTTTTATATTTGGATTGGATTTTCCCTTGCTGTATTTGACTACTTTTCTTGTCACTTTGTCTTGCTAGAATCTGGTTCTTGCGAGTGTTTAATAGCACTTTTAATTTTTTATAGGTTTCTAATTTGTAGCCTTTTAATTCAAGCATTAAGAAAAGTTATTTCTTTTGCTTTACTGCAGCAAAGATTTCAATGCGAGTTTCAACCATCCATTACCCTGATCCTAAAGAACTTGAGAACCTCAATTCAATCAACGCAAGACATGCACATCGAAATTCTTCTGGAATCACTGGGACAACTTCATCTCGGTACTTTCCTATGCAAAGTGGTGGACGTGCAGCTTCATCAAAAGGTAGCAGACAGAGAAGCTCCTTGTCTGGAGTTACTGAGCCATCTAGTATTTCGAAAAAAGGACACGTGTCTAAATCTAAATTCAACTTGTCTGAGTCCTCACATGGTCACAGCACTGGCATTTCCTCTATGTCCGTAGACAATTCTCATGAAGGAAAACCAAAGAGAAGAAAACACACGGAATAATGTTTCCTATACCCGCCATGGCCTTTAATAGTGTAATTTTTAAAATTAACATTATCCCGGGCCTAACTATATAGGAAAGAATAGGGCAACACTTTTATGTTGCAAAAGGATGATAAATATTTGTATTTTCTTTGTATTTTTCAAATTGTCATTTACTTCAGTTGCACAATGCTCACTGATTTAAGGACCCTTTCTTTTCTCATTTTTCTGGCCTCTTTTTGTGTATTGAAAGCGCTATATTAATTTAGTTATGTTCTTCCTAATGTTGGATTGTTTTAATCCTAATAATGTCTTTGAAAGCCTGCTGCCACCACATCGTTAGGGCCTTTGTTGTCAAAACTGGACTGAGAATGAATTTTTGATGAAATTATATTTGTTTTTTTTACAAAAGAAAAAATAGGAGAGAAAATAGATGTGAAGGGGCTAAGGAATAATGAAGGTAGGATTGCCAACTTAGGATTTAAGAATAACGAAGATAGAGGATTTAAAATTAGTTTCATAAGAAAGACATAATGAAGGTAGATATAGAATATATTTTAGAAATTACGCTTCAGGAACTAATTTCATAAATATAAAATAAGAACAAGGGAAAGAATATCAACAGGGAACAAAAGTGATAATAATAACAGGGGTAGTTGAATTGGTTGAATTCATAAAGCTGAAGTTAAACTTAAGCATTGTAGAATTCTGTAGGGCTTTCTTTACAAAAAATAAGTGCATATTAAGCTTATAAAAAACCGGTTACTATTTTCAGTTTTTAATAAAATATTAATTAATTATTTTTAAAGAAAACATATCAATATGTGCATTTAAAACGGGTTAAAAAGTATTTATTGAAAATGTAAGATAATTTGAATAAGTAATATATTTATATTTATTTAATAGTATAAATCACACATGTTAAAAAGATGTCAAAGTTTATTAAAGAAAAACATGAGGAAGATTGAGAAGATGAACGATACATGGCATGAGATGCTTGTGTGGAGAATGAGTACTGATAAGCAATGTTCCCAGCGAAGAGGTTAAGAAGCATTGAAATATATGGTTAACTTAAAAAAGGTTAAAATTATTTTTCAACAACAATTTTAGAATATATCCTTATATCAATAGAAGAAGATAATTCATTATGATTTAGAATTTTTGTTGTATCTTTATATATGGTAACAATTTTAGTTATTATCGTGTTGTCTATGTAAAATTCATTTCAATTTTAATATAATGGTTTGTATATAAAATACACGACAATTCTCATCACCTTTATATTATATGGTGTAGGTCTTCTCTTTTATATTATTTATAAAAAAAATGATGTCCACATGCAAAATTCCACCGTGAAGATTGGCGAAGAATTCTCGTCACCTTTGGAAAAGGTTTAATACAGTGCAAAACTACTCTGAAACCAAATAATCTTTTTTTTCTCTCTCTGTCTCTTTGTGATAAAGAATATGTCGATGGTTCCAAAAGCAAACCCCTTCGAGGACTCCCCTTTCACGGCGCTTTCCACCTCCGGCCTTTCCGGGCACGGGTCGTTTCGGAGCGGGCAGTTCATGTGGGAGGAGACGGCGGAGGCGCACGTGCTGAAGGGCGAGGTGCCGGGGCTGAGGAGGGAGGAATTGAAGGTGGAGATAGAAAACGGAAGAGTGCTTCAGGTGAGCGGAGAGAGGGTGGTGGAAACAGAAGAAGACAGCGACTCCTGCCGCCGCCTCCACCGCGGAATCTCGAAGTTCAAAAACTGTTTCACGATCCCTCCTCATACCCAACCCGATCGTATGATGGCCTCCATGGAAAACGGCGTTCTCACCATCACTCTGCCAAAGCTCAATCCTCCCATCGCCATTTCCAACTGATAACTTAACAACAATTCTTTTCATATCTACTCTCTTCTCTTCATATGTAATATCCGTTGCAGTAAAAATAGACAAAGAAATCTTCATATTTGTTTTCAATGAGATATATATATATAAAAAATAATAAAAAGGTTTGCATTTTTTTGAGTTTCTTAACATTGAAAATGAGGTAAGTAATAAATTAAATAATACGACAGAAATTATTCGATTTTTCATCCTCTATTTTTTTTTTTCAGTTTTTTGAAGGTTCTTTTCCTCCTGTATCTTCCGAATTAGATAACTCTGATATTGGGCTTGGGCTTTTGTTGGTTTTTCTGTACTGTGGGCCTTAAGTAGTTCATATCCATAAGTACATGGAAACAAAAGACCAGAACCTTCTCAATATTGCTGGGTAAATATAGAAGTTTGTGGAATAATCTGAAAGAGGTAAAACCATACCAAAGTGAAACCAGAATTTTCTGGAACATACTACATTATCTTTTTACTTCCTATAAATACTGCATCAATTCCTTCGCTTGTCATCAAATCACAAAAGTATAATCTGCTTACCCTTTCCCTAAATCTCCCAACTTTCGAATTTCTGCAAGTAATAGAAACCGAAGATGTCACTGATTCCAAGTTTGTTCGGTGGGCGAAGGAGCAACGTCTTCGATCCATTCTCTCTGGATGTATGGGATCCCTTCAAGGATTTTCCTTTCCCCAATTCTCTTTCTTCTTCCTTCCCTGAATCTGGTCGGGAAAATTCTGCATTTGTGAGCACTCGTGTGGATTGGAAAGAGACTCCGGAGGCACACGTGTTCAAGGCTGACATTCCGGGACTGAAGAAGGAGGAAGTGAAGGTGGAGATAGAAGATGATAAGGTTCTTCAGATAAGCGGAGAGAGGAACTTTGAGAAGGAAGATAAGAAGGACACGTGGCATCGTGTGGAGCGTAGCAGTGGAAAGTTTATGAGGAGGTTCAGATTGCCTGAGAATGCAAAAGTGGATAAAGTGAAGGCTTCAATGGAAAATGGTGTTCTCACTGTTACTTTTCCCAAAGAAGAGATTAAGAAGCCTGATGTCAAGGCCATTGAAATTTCTGGTTAAGTTTACTTTGTTACATTGTTGGAAATATGAGAATGTTGTGTTGTTGATGCTATAAAGATGCTGTTAATGCTTGTTGAGAAATAAAATTTCGTTTTGATCATACCTTTTGGTAAAGGGAATCTGCTTCATTACATTAGACATATGGACCATGGCAAGATCTCTTCTTAAAATAAAATTTATCTACTAAACAAATTAATTTCATATATTCACAAATTCGATCATAATTTTTTTTAATGTGAACTTTAATAAAATGATATTTAATTTCAAAATACTTACTTGTAAAATGCTTTAGAATATTGAATTACATTTTTAGTTAGATTGATAGTATTAATGTTATTGAATTTAAAAGGAATATTATCTAGTTTTAAGTCACGGTCACGTTGCTCCAACCTTAAAATTTGAATGTAGCTGTAATATGTACAATTTTCTTTATCATGTCATAAAATCAAACTTCCAAATGAATGATTAAGTTTAAAAATAACAAAATTTGAATAAGAAAACCAATCAGATTTAAAAACGTATCACGTGATCTCACAAGTCACATATATATTTCCTGTTAAATACTTTAAAAAGAGAATTGAACTGTATATTCAAGAATTTTGAAAATTTTACAAAATTGTTAAATTGAAAGACAAGGCATGTTTGCGATAAGATAAGTGGTATAATTTATTAAAATAGAGAATAAATAGTTTTCGACAATTTAACATATTAATCGATTATCGAAGATAAGTTAAAATAGCAATGTTATTTTTACATTTTAGGATAAACAAAAAATATTTAGGACATCTAGTTTTTTTTTTCTTGTGTAAAATTTAATCTTAAATAATGATTTAGTGAAAATTGATAAAGTGTGTCAAAAATTCAATTTAACTTCAGATAGGTGTATAACCTCTTGATACGATATGTTTTTCTAAAAGTAATTGTATTGCTCGTATAAACAAAAGATATTGAAAATACGTTTTTATAATATTTTCCTATCTTTTTTAATGTTCTTTTAAAGTAATGTTCTTTTGAACTAATTTATCTCTATAAATAAAGAAAAAACAACACAAATAAGAAAGTATTATTTGCATATGTTAAACATTTATTATTTTTTAGCTTTATACATATACTTTGTTTTAGAGTAACATTATAAGTTTAAGATGTTTATATTTAGTGTGTTATTTTAAATAATTTCTTTTTAATAATACTATTTTATTAAATATTATTGTTATACTTCAAAATAAAGGTTGTTAGACGTTTTGTCTTAACATCACATTACTATTTAATTAGATTCAATTGAACTTCAATCCTTTATGTCAATTTAATCAAACTCAATTGAACTTCAATTTCATCTCGTGATCCTTTTGTTGTTTTTAAAATTAAAGGTTTATTATACTGAGAGAACTTAACATACTAAGATAAATGAATTTTCCTAACAAAATTTGTTAAAACTCTTGAGTAGAATACTTTACAATGAAAAACCAAAAACACATCGACTAACTCTGTAGATAACACAAATCACAATTAAACAGAATTAGACATAATCAAATTAAAGATAATTAAGTAAATTAATTCACAGCTTTTTTATCTTTCCATATAATCATTAACTATTTGATTAAAAATATAAAAAATTATAAAAAAAATATCAGTTTTTTATATCATATTCTTACTCCAACTTGTTCATATAATGATAACATCTCGTCATATAGAACAATTACACCATCTCGTTTTACACTCAAATTGTTCCAAATAATCTTTTTATATCAACATTATAATCAAAGATGTATAAACAATACAAAGATTTTCGAAGAGAAATGTAAGTTAGAAAGATTTGTACCACCATGTATGACTTGTAATTAGGAAAATTTTGTTAGCTTATTTCATTAGGTGTAGATTTATAATACCAACAATTCTAATTCATTAGTGTAATTTTAGAACTTTAAGAAAGGTGAGTGTTATTTATGATAGTTTTAAAAAGTAAATATATTTAAAAATTATAATAAGTGTAAATACCATTTTCTTAAAATTATAAAAAAAGATAATTATTATCCTAATTGAACGTTTAACTGAATAAATTGAAAACCGATCACTATGTCATTGCCTTCTAAGATTTTTTTTTTTCATAATTCAAGGAGACTTTTAAGTAAAAGACCAGACAACCGTTACCAAATAAAGTTATTGAGGTTCTTCAATTAAATAAATAAAGTTATATTTTTTATGTCTAGTTCAAGTAGAAATCAAAAGAACTATAAAAACTTTTGACTGGATTGCTGATGGTCGAGTAGCATAGAGAAAATAAAATGAAGAAAAACAAAAACACATCAGACATGAACTATACATATGATGCCTTGAGAAATAGTAAGATTAAAAACTCATTATAATATAAAGGGTTTAAAAAATGCAATAGGAAAGCATGATCTCTCATGCAATATCTAGAAACGAATGTAATACTTCATATCAAATAATTCAAAGGAAAAATTTTTTATTAACAAAGGAAAATTTTTTTTACCAAAACTTTTTTTTTACAAAAAACCTTTTTATTTTGACAAGTTCTTTTAATTTTTACACAAAAACTTTTGTTTACTGAAGATACCCTGATCAGAAATTTACTTACAAACACCAAGTATATCAACAATGAAAATTTATTCCATACACACAAAACCATTACTTGTAATTTTTACAACTCATCTTTCTGTAACATCATA